ATATCGCGCTGCTCTGTTACTCTGTGTGGTCGTATTACAGGACGGGCGTACAGCTTCTCCCAGAGCAGAAGGGCCTGCCGCTCAACTGCTTTATCAGCGCAGAAGTGGTTCATTGGCTGGTCACTAACGTGGAGGGTGTGGCCACACAGGGGATGGCTGTGGATATCATGCAGGTAGGACTTCCACGTGCCAACTTTGGTTCAATGTGACGAGATGGATGTTTGTTGCTGCTGATTAGAGTGTGAGTCATAACTGCAGTGTAGGCCACGCTGTTCGTTTGCAGCCTGCGTGTGTCTCCAATAGTCAGATACGATGTAGCTGTTTGTTAATGGAGGATCTGCGCTGCACCAGGAAGGACGTCGTGTTAGCTCAGCCAGGCTGTGCAGACGAGCCACGGCAGATCTCAGCTGCTGCTTGAACCCTTGTGTTGTCCTCGGGTCATATTTGACCACCATTTCTGAAAATAACAGGAGTTATTCAGTACTCTGCTATACATGATTGGAATAAGTTTTAAGTAATTTGATTTGTTTATGTGGTTGTTATTGGATTTACTAACACGTGTTGTCCTCAGGGGTCAAAAACGACCCCAAAGTGTTGCCAATGGCCACATTGTCACACAAACTGCTTTCAAACATCTTTGATGTGTAACAAGAACACGATCGTGGCTCAAGAGTTGGGACTCGGGGACTAGTAAAGCGCTATACAAATACAGGCCATTTACCAACAACACAATTTTTTATACACAGCGCCAAATCACAACAACAGTCGCCTCGAGGTGCTTCATATTGTGAGGTCGACCCTTCAGTAACACACAGAAAGTATGAAAAAATAAAAATAATTTACCATGTTGTGGAAAATAATGATCAGTAGAACAAAGCACAGATTGTCCTCTAGTATAATGAGGAGGAATCAATGATCAGGAAGATCCAGAGTTAGAAGATAAAGAAAATATTTAGAGCACATGCTCCCTTTCTCTGAAGAAGCCCCCACATCACCCACAGCAGTGGAAGAAGGCTATGAAGTGAAATAGCAGATGTGTCAGGGGACCACACATCTTCCACTTCAGTTATGATGAAGATCAAGCAGGA